AGACTGCTGGTGCTGAGCCTGGGGGTGCTGAGACAGAGGGTGAGGGCTCTGGGGGTGCTACGACTGGGGGTGCTGGGACTGGGGGTGCTGGTTTTGGGGGTGCTGCGACTAGGGGTGCTGACTCTGGGGGTGCTGTGAGTCCTAGTGGCGGTGGAGCTGTGGGTGACCCTGCTGGAGGTCCTGGAGCTGGATAGCCACCGCAGCCTGATCTACTTGAGACGCTCTCACCGCAGGCGATTCGTGCGTGGATCGTTCGGCGAGGCAGTCTTGGTGGTGGAGGGTACGGTCCTGCCGGTGCTGGAGCTGCTAGTCCTGGAGGTAGTGCTGGTGTTGGAGGTACTGGAGGTACTGCTGGAGGTGCTGCTGGTGCTGGAGGTACTAGAGGTGCTGCTGGTGCTGGAGGTGCCAGAGCTACTAGTCCTAGAGGTGCTACTGGTGCTGGAGGTGCTGGACCTACTAATCTTGGAGGTACAGCTGGTGCTGGAGGTGCTGGAGGTGCTGCTGGTGCTGGAGGCGCTGGAGCTGGAGGTACTGGAGGTGCTGTAGCTGCTGGTCCTGGAGGTGCTCGTACTGGAGGTGCTGGAGCTGCCGAAGCTGGTGGTGCTATTAGTGCTGGAGGTGCTGGGGGTACTGGAGTTGCTGGCACTGAAGGTGCTGGTGCTACTGGTGCTGGAGCTGCGGGAGCTGCTGGTCCTGGAGGTGCTCGTACTAGAGGTACTGGAGTTGCCGGAGCTGGTGGTGCTGCTAGTGCCGGAGGTGCTACTGGAGCTGCTGGCACTGGAGGTTCTGGTGCTGCAGGTACTGGAGGTGCTGGAGTCGCTGGTACTGGAGGTGCTCGTACTAGAGGTGCTGGAGCTACCTGAGCAGGTGGTGCTGCTAGTGCTGGAGGTACTGCTGGAGCTGCTGGCAGTGGAGGTGCTGGAGGTACTGCTGGTGCTGGAGGCGCTGAAGCTGGAGGTACTGGAGGTACTGGAGGTGCTGGAGCTGCTGGTCCTGGAGGTGCTCGTACTAGAGGTGCTGGAGCTGCCGGAGCAGGTGGCGCTGTTGGTGCTGGAGGTGTTGGAGGTGCTACTGGAGCTGCTGGCACTGGAGGTGCTGGAGGTACTGCTTGTGCTAGAGGTGATGGCGCTGTCGGAGCTCGTGGTGCTGCTGGTGCTGGAGGTGCTACTGGAGCTGCTGGTGCTGGAGGTGCTGGTGCTGGAGTTGCTGGTGCTGCTGGTGCTGGAGGTGCTGGTGCTGCTGGTATTGCACCACGCCGACTGTTTTTTTACCCGTAGCCGCAGTCGTCCCTACCGCCGCCTGACTCGGTCCTTTGCCAGGCTCTTAGTCTCCCGTCTTCCACGGGCCTCACTCCACCTCTCCTGTGTCCACACAACCCTAAACCCTGCTTCTGCCTGGCTCCCCGCTGCCTGCTCCTGCTCCTCACACTGAGGTGACTGAGTCCCTAACTGAGCGTTGTGAGCCTGAGACTCGTGCTTCCACACCTATTCGTGCTCGTCGTGTCGCTTTTCCTCGTCCTCCTGCTGTCCCAGGCAATCACGGTATGGCACTTCGTCCTTCCTCTGTTCCACAGCGTGTTGTCCTGCCTAAGCCTCCCGCGTCCTCTCTTCCGCACGTTCCTGACCGTGAGTCTGACCTTGCTCGTGCTGCCAGTCCTATTGTCACTCGTCTCCTCGCTACTGTTGTCACTGACCCTGACCTTGAGTCTACTGCAGCGTTTGCCCTAGTCATTGAGCTAGTCGACTTTGTAGCTAGGAGTCGTCTCGACTACGTCGCGAGTCTTGTCACTGAGTCAGATTCTGTTTGTCCTCCATCCGGCGGGGCTGAGCCTGCCCTTAGCAGTAACGTACTTGAGGACAGACAATTTGAGCATGAGTGTCTTGCAGCAGCTTTACCTCGTTTCGCATCCATGCTGCTTTGCCCTGAGGGAGACCCGGATGCACTTGACATCCCTACCCCGCGCTCTTACACTGAGGCGATTGCGGGTGAGTACTCCTCTCAGTGGAAGACAGGCATGGATGCAGAGATGGCTTCCTGGAAGTCCACAGGCACCTACGTCGACGAGGTTCCTCCTCCTAGGGTGAACATAGTCGATGGCATGTGGATTTTCAGAGTGTAGCGGCTGCCGGGTTCTCCGCCTGCCTTCAAGGCACGTTACGTTGCTCGAGGCTTCAGTCAGCGACAGGGGGTCGACTTCTTCCAGACCTTCTCCCCCTCCCTGAAGATGACTACTCTTCGGGTGTTGCTGCACGTTGCAGCACAGCGTGACTACGAGTTGCACTCCCTTGACTTCTCCACAACTTTCTTGCAAGGCAGCCTTCACGAGGAGATTTGGCTGCGCCGCCCACCTAGCTTCATTGGGTCGTTTCCTGCGGGTACTCATCGGAGCCTCCGGCGGCCAGTCTACGGTCTTGGCCAGGCGCCTCGAGAGTGGCACGACACACTGAGGACTACACTTGCGGCTCTTGAGTTTGTTCCTTCTACAGCAGACCCGCCGTTCTACGTTCTCGTGTACGTCGATGACTTGGTTTTTGCTACTGATGACGCTGAGGCGCTGGCCCTAGTGAAGGCGGAGCTGCAGGAGAGACACACCTGCCCTAACCTGGGTGAGCTGCGTAGCTATCTTGGCTTGCAGATCACCCGGGACAGAGCATGGCGCACCATCACCCTGACTCAGTCACAGATGGTGCACCAGGTCCTTCAGTGCTTCGGCTTCCAGTTCTCCTCGCCACAGCCCACTCCTCTGTCTACCGGCCAATCGCTCTCAGCTCCACCTTCGGACGAGTCCGTAGAGTCGAGTGGTCCGTACCCAGAGCTTGTGGGTTGCCTCATGTACCTGATGACGTGCACACGACCTGACCTCGCGTACCCTCTCAGCTTCCTGGCTTGCTACGTGGCTCCCGGTAGTCACCGAAAAGTGCACTGGGATGCTGCAAAGAGGGTACTGCGTTACTTGTGCAGTACATCGGGCATGGGGCTCGTGCTTGGAGGACGGGGTTCAGTGGTACTCACAGGACACTCCGACGCTTCTTGGGCCGACGACCAGGCGACTCAGCGTTCGTCACAGGGTTACACCTTCAGTCTTGGCTCTGGTTCTGTCTCGTGGAGGTCCACTCGTTTGTCTTCTGTGCTTGGTTCCAGCTGTGAGGCCGAGATCTACGCTGGGGCCATGGCTGCATAGAAGCTACACTGGCTGACCTACCTGCTGACCGACTTGGGGGAGCGGCCTCGTTCTCCTCCAGTTCTGTACGTCAACAACAAGGCAATACTTGCCTTGTGACATGAGCAGAGACTGGAGCACAGAACGAAGCACATTGCTCTTCGCTACTTCCTTGCGCGTGAGCTGCAGCAGCGTCGTCAGCTCCGCCTTTCCTACGTGGCCTCGCGGGCCAACACTGCTGATGTGTTCACCAAGGCCCTTGGGTCTGGTGATCATCAGCGTTTCTGCACTGCTCTTGGGCTTGTGCCCACTTTTCGTCACCTGCTGGTTGTTTGACTTGCTCTTGTTGTACACTTATATATATATTTATACATGCTTGTTTACTCTTGCTTTGTTGTGATCAGTGTACTGCGTTGCTATTATAACTCTGCATGTGAACTGGCCTTGTGGCCGCTTGCTTGTGCTTAGATTGTGTGGTGTCCTTGAGATCCACCCTGAGCTTTGCTTTGCTTTGTTCTCTTGCTTGACTGGTCTTGTGACCGTTCGTTGTGTTTGCTATCCCCCACTTTGCCTATGGGGGTGTGTCAAATTACATTTGTATGTGTAGGCTGTAGTGGGGTAGTCTCTACTGAGTACAACACTTTAGGTCAAACCTAGTACTTGTACTCATCCTTGCTTGCTAGTCAATCATTCCTGCACAGTTGATCCTGACATGAAGTTGCGCCCAGGGGGAATGTATCACCGATGGCGAGAGCCAGCGGAGCCGGGGTTGGGGTGCTCTCTGTGGGAGTTGTCCAGCACCAGGGCACGCCATGGGGAAGGAGCTGCTTCGAAGGCCCTTAGGGCTAACCTAGCTGACCCTTTCCCCCCCAGCTCCCTAGTCTGGAACGCCATATCTCTGAGTGCGGGAGCACCCTCCTTATCGTAGCTGATCTCATCTGCCTTCGTATCGCCTCCCGAAGGGCCTGGCCTCAACCCAATCGATTTCGTCAATTGTGTCAATTCCGTCAATTCTGTCAGTTGCGAGTCGGCCGCTGACGGCCGTTCGACGTGGATCGCGCCGGCAGTTACAGCTGTCGGCGCGTCGGTGCCGGTGTAGTGGTGTCACCGGGTGCGAGTTGTGCGGACCGTGTTGGTGACACGGAATACGAAAGATGCAGTAATGAGGAGGGTAGTGGTGAGGAAGGTTTGGTGGTGAGGCGAGTTGGTGGCGAGGAGGGTTTGGTGGTGGAGTGGAACGTTTTAGTCGTTCGCTTTGGATTGTTAACCCTGATTGTCTTCTAGTCACTCCCCTACCAATGCAATAACTACAATTTATCTCCCCTCCTTCCCCAATATGAAAAGTGAGAATCTTTTCATTTACCATGAGGCACGATCAATCAGCCACTAACGATATTCTATTTGAAGTAACTAGCACCGTTTCGCCTGTCTATGAGCTGCTGCTATAGGGTTGCTCCGAGCCTACACATGAGTTGCTCGAGCCTTCTGCAAAGCTAGGCTCGTTCCCTTGTGTCTGCCCGTCATAGCCCCCCCCCTCTGCTGGGTATGCGACTGGAACAGCTGCAACCTTGTACAACCTGGTGTGGGGAAGGCAATAAAGGGAATAGGAATAGGTGGGAGGTATGCAGCTTGGTGCAACTCTTTCCCAACCCCCCCTCCTCCATCGCTCCCTATCCCCTCACCCCATCCCTTGCCTCCCACACCCCATCCCCTGCCCCCCACACCCCATCCCCTGCCCACCACACCCCATCCCCCACCAGCACACTCCCTCCCAGCCATCTCCAACCCTATTCCAAAACACACCCAGTCTCAAACCCAACCATCCGCCTTTCCCCAAGCCTTACCCCTCAGTTTCGGTGTCGCCGAGCTTGTCGCCGAGCCTGACGGCTCGGAAGACATAGATAGGCATGGAGAGGGCCTGCATCATGCAGGCGATGGTGATGACCAGGAAGCCAACCCAGAGCATCTTGAAATCCATGACCATCGCCTCCGCCTCGTTCAATGCAAACTGGAAAAATAGGGAGAGGAGGGGAAAATGGGGAGAGAGCAATACGGGTGAAAGGGATTGGGAAGCGAACCGGAATGTAACAAGGATGAGCAGGAAGCCCACCCAGAGCATGTGGAAATCCACCACCATTGCCTGTGCCTCGTTCAATGCAAACTGGCGGACGAGGGGAATTGAGGAGAATGAGGGAGAGGAGGGAGAGGACAGAGAGGAGGGGGAGGAGGGGGATGAGGGAGAAGAGGGAGAGAAGGGGGAGGAGGGGGATGAGGGGGAAGAGGGAGAAGAGGGAGAGAAGGGGCAGGAGGGGGATGAGGGAGAGGAGAGAGTGCTTGAGTTCAAGAGTGCATGCGAACATGGATGCAATGCAAGGTCGCAGCTAGACCTGTGCAAAGTGACGAGTCGAGCAAAACTCGGACGAGCAATTTTTGCTACAATGCAAACTCGTTGCTCGCCGTTTTACCCGAGTTTTAAAAAAAATCGGACGAGCATTCAGAAATGTTCGCTGTTGCTGCCCTGTATATGCAAAATCTGCCCTCGCATATAACCCCAGAGAAGCCCAGGGTAACACAGGGCGATTTTTGAGTGGACTCAAAAATCGCCTCATATAACCCCAGAGAAGCCCAGGGTAACACAGGGCGATTTTTGAGTCGACTCAAAAATCGCCTCATATAACCCCAGAGAAGCCCAGGGTAACACAGGGCGATTTTTGAGTCGACTCAAAAATCGCCTCATCACACACGGATTATATTTTGAGTCGACTCAAAAATCGCCTCATATAACCCCAGAGAAGCCCAGGGTAACACAGGGCGATTTTTGAGTCGACTAAAAAATCGCCTCATCACACACGGATTATATTTTGAGTCGACTAAAAAATCGCCTCATATAACCCCAGAGAAGCCCAGGGTAACACAGGGCGATTTTTGAGTCGACTCAAAAATCGCCTCATCACACACGGATTATATTTTGAGTCGACTAAAAAATCGCCTCATATAACCCCAGAGAAGCCCAGGGTAACACAGGGCGATTTTTGAGTCGACTCAAAAATCGCCTCATCACACACGGATTATATTTTGAGTCGACTCAAAAATCGCCTCATATAACCCCAGAGAAGCCCAGGGTAACACAAGGAGATTTTTGAGTCGACTCAAAAATCGCCTCATCACACACGGATTATATTTTGAGTCGACTAAAAAATCGCCTCATATAACCCCAGAGAAGCCCAGGGTAACACAGGGCGATTTTTGAGTCGACTCAAAAATCGCCTCATCACACACGGATTATATTTTGAGTCGACTAAAAAATCGCCTCATATAACCCCAGAGAAGCCCAGGGTAACACAGGGCGATTTTTGAGTCGACTCAAAAATCGCCTCATCACACACGGATTAAATTTTGAGTCGACTCAAAAATCGCCTCATATAACCCCAGAGAAGCCAAGGGTAACACAAGGCGATTTTTGAGTCGACTCAAAAATCGCCTCATCACACACGGATTATATTTTGAGTCGACTAAAAAATCGCCTCATATAACCCCAGAGAAGCCCAGGGTAACACAGGGAAGTACAGGGAAGTCCAGGGTAGCCTAGGGAAGCCCAGGTTAGCCCAGGGAAATAAAGGGAGTCCGGGGTTACTCGTCCAAAAAGCAAACTCGTTACTCACCCCTAGACGAGTAACTCGGACGAGTCGATGCGAGTAACTCGCCCTGACGCCCTGGTCTAGTCGCAGCCTTACTTGAGTGGTGTGAGCCACATTGCAGCAGCCGACCAACATTTCAGGACATGAGTGCAAACGAGTCCACATGAGTGCAAACGAGTCCACATGAGTGCAAACGAGTCCACATGAGTGCAAACGAGTCCACATGAGTGCAAACGAGTCCACATGAGTGCAAACGAGTCCACATGAGTGCAAACGAGTCCACATGAGTGCAATCGAGTCCACATGAGTGCAAGCGAGTCCACATGAGTGCAAACGAGTCCACATGAGTGCAAACGAGTCCACATGAGTGCAAACGAGTCAACATGAGTGCAAACGAGTCCACATGAGTGCAAGCGAGACCACATGAGTGCAAACGAGTCCACATGAGTGCAAACGAGTCCACATGAGTGCAAACGAGTCCACGTGAGTGCAAACGAGTCCACGTGAGTGCAAACGAGTCCACATGAGTGCAAACGAGTCCACAAGAGTGCAAACGAGTCCACATGAGTGCAAACGAGTCCACATGAGTGCAAACGAGTCCACGTGAGTGCAAACGAGTCCACGTGAGTGCAAACGAGTCCACATGAGTTCAAACGAGTCCACATGAGTTCAAACGAGTCCACATGAGTGCAAACGAGTCCACATGAGTGCAATCGAGTCCACATGAGTGCAAACGAGTCCACATGAGTTCAAACGAGTCCACATGAGTGCAAACGACTCCACATGAGTGCAAACGACTCCACATGAGTGCAAACGAGTCCACATGAGTGCAAACGAGTCCACATGAGTGCAAACGAGTCCACATGAGTGCAAACGAGTCCACGTGAGTTCAAACGAGTCCACATGAGTGCAAACGAGTCCACATGAGTGCAAACGAGTCCACATGAGTGCAAACGAGTCCACATGAGTGCCAACGAGTCCACATGAGTGCAAACGAGTCCACATGAGTGCAAACGAGTCCACATGAGTGCAAACGAGTCCACATGAGTGCAATCGAGTCCACATGAGTGCAAACGAGTCCACATGAGTTCAAACGAGTCCACATGAGTGCAAACGAGTCCACATGAGTGCAAACGAGTCCACATGAGTGCAAACGAGTCCACATGAGTGCAAACGAGTCCACATGAGTGCAAACAAGTCCACGTGAGTGCAAACGAGTCCACATGAGTTCAAACGAGTCCACATGAGTTCAAACGAGTCCACATGAGTGCAAACGAGTCCACATGAGTGCAAACGAGTCCACATGAGTGCAAACGAGTCCACATGAGTGCAAACGAGTCCACATGAGTGCAAACGAGTCCACATGAGTGCAAACGAGTCCACATGAGTGCAAACAAGTCCACATGAGTGCAAACGAGTCCACATGAGTGCAAACGAGTCCACATGAGTTCAAACGAGTCCACATGAGTGCAAACGAGTCCACGTGAGTGCAAACGAGTCCACATGAGTGCCAACGAGTCCACATGAGTGCAAACGAGTCCACATGAGTGCAAACGAGTCCACATGAGTGCAAACGAGTCCACATGAGTGCAAGCGAGTCCACATGAGTGCAAACGAGTCCACATGAGTGCAAACGAGTCCACATGAGTGCAAACGAGTCCACATGAGTGCAAACGAGTCCACATGAGTGCCAACAAGTCCATATGAGTGCAAACGAGTCCACAAGAGTGCAAACGAGTCCACATGAGTTCAAACGAGTCCACATGAGTGCAAACGAGTCCACGTGAGTGCAAACGAGTCCACATGAGTGCCAACGAGTCCACATGAGTGCAAACGAGTCCACATGAGTGCAAACGAGTCCACATGAGTGCAAACGAGTCCACATGAGTGCAAGCGAGTCCACATGAGTGCAAACGAGTCCACATGAGTGCAAACGAGTCCACATGAGTGCAAACGAGTCCACATGAGTGCAAACGAGTCCACATGAGTTCAAACGAGTCCACATGAGTGCAAACGAGTCCACATGAGTGCAAACGAGTCCACATGAGTGCAAACGAGTCCACATGAGTGCAAACGAGTCCACATGAGTGCAAACGAGTCCACATGAGTGCAAACGAGTCCACATGAGTGCAAACGAGTCCACATGAGTGCAAACGAGTCCACATGAGTGCAAACGAGTCCACATGAGTGCCAACGAGTCCACATGAGTGCAAACGAGTCCACATGAGTGCAAACGAGTCCACATGAGTGCAAACGAGTCCACATGAGTGCAAACGAGTCCACATGAGTTCAAACGAGTCCACATGAGTGCAAACGAGTCCACATGAGTGCAAACGAGTCCACATGAGTTCAAACGAGTCCACATGAGTGCAAACGAGTCCACATGAGTGCAAACGAGTCCATATGAGTGCAAACGAGTCCACATGAGTTCAAACGAGTCCACATGAGTTCAAACGAGTCCACATGAGTGCAAACGAGTCCACATGAGTGCAAACGAGTCCACATGAGTTCAAACGAGTCCACATGAGTGCAAACGAGTCCACATGAGTGCAAACGAGTCCACATGAGTTCAAACGAGTCCACATGAGTGCAAACGAGTCCACATGAGTGCAAACGAGTCCACATGAGTGCAAACGAGTCCACATGAGTTCAAACGAGTCCACATGAGTTCAAACGAGTCCACATGAGTGCAAGCGAGTCCACATGAGTGCAAACGAGTCCACATGAGTGCAAACGAGTCCACATGAGTGCAAACGAGTCCACATGAGTGCAACGAGTCCACATGAGTGCAAACGAGTCCACATGAGTGCAAACGAGTCCACATGAGTGCAAACGAGTCCACATGAGTGCAAACGAGTCCACATGAGTGCAATCGAGTCCACATGAGTGCAAACGAGTCCACATGAGTGCAAGCGAGTCCACATGAGTGCAAGCGAGTCCACATGAGTGCAAGCGAGTCCACATGAGTGCAAACGAGTCCACATGAGTGCAAGCGAGTCCACATGAGTGCAAACGAGTCCACATGAGTGCAAGCGAGTCCACATGAGTGCAAACGAGTCCACATGAGTGCAAACGAGTCCACATGAGTGCAAACGAGTCCACATGAGTTCAAACGAGTCCACATGAGTGCAAACGAGTCCACATGAGTGCAAACGAGTCCACATGAGTTCAAACGAGTCCACATGAGTGCAAACGAGTCCACATGAGTGCAAACGAGTCCACATGAGTGCAAACGAGTCCACATGAGTTCAAACGAGTCCACATGAGTTCAAACGAGTCCACATGAGTGCAAACGAGTCCACATGAGTGCAAACGAGTCCACATGAGTTCAAACGAGTCCACATGAGTGCAAACGAGTCCACATGAGTGCAAACGAGTCCACATGAGTGCAAACGAGTCCACATGAGTGCAAACGAGTCCACATGAGTGCAAGCGAGTCCACATGAGTGCAAGCGAGTCCACATGAGTGCAAACGAGTCCACGTGAGTGCAAACGAGTCCACATGAGTGCAAACGAGTCCACATGAGTGCAAACGAGTCCACATGAGTGCAAGCGAGTCCACATGAGTGCAAGCGAGTCCACATGAGTGCAAACGAGTCCACATGAGTGCAAACGAGTCCACATGAGTGCAAACGAGTCCACATGAGTGCAACGAGTCCACATGAGTGCAAACGAGTCCACATGAGTGCAAACGAGTCCACATGAGTTCAAACGAGTCCACATGAGTTCAAACGAGTCCACATGAGTGCAAACGAGTCCACATGAGTGCAAACGAGTCCACATGAGTTCAAACGAGTCCACATGAGTGCAAACGAGTCCACATGAGTGCAAACGAGTCCACATGAGTGCAAACGAGTCCACATGAGTGCAAACGAGTCCACATGAGTGCAAGCGAGTCCACATGAGTGCAAGCGAGTCCACATGAGTGCAAACGAGTCCACGTGAGTGCAAACGAGTCCACATGAGTGCAAACGAGTCCACATGAGTGCAAACGAGTCCACATGAGTGCAAGCGAGTCCACATGAGTGCAAGCGAGTCCACATGAGTGCAAACGAGTCCACATGAGTGCAAACGAGTCCACATGAGTGCAAACGAGTCCACATGAGTGCAACGAGTCCACATGAGTGCAAACGAGTCCACATGAGTGCAAACGAGTCCACATGAGTGCAAACGAGTCCACATGAGTGCAAACGAGTCCACATGAGTGCAATCGAGTCCACATGAGTGCAAACGAGTCCACATGAGTGCAAGCGAGTCCACATGAGTGCAAACGAGTCCACATGAGTGCAAACGAGTCCACATGAGTGCAAGCGAGTCCACATGAGTGCAAACGAGTCCACATGAGTGCAAACGAGTCCACATGAGTGCAAACGAGTGCACATGAGTGCAAACGAGTCCACATGAGTGCAAACGAGTCCACATGAGTGCAAACGAGTCCACATGAGTGCAAACGAGTCCACATGAGTTCAAACGAGTCCACATGAGTGCAAACGAGTCCGCATGAGTTCAAACGAGTCCACATGAGTGCAAACGAGTCCACATGAGTGCAAACGAGTCCACATGAGTGCAAACGAGTCCACATGAGTGCAATCGAGTCCACATGAGTGCAAACGAGTCCACATGAGTGCAAACGAGTCCACATGAGTGCAAACGAGTCCACATGAGTGCAAGCGAGTCCACATGAGTGCAAACGAGTCCACATGAGTGCAAACGAGTCCACATGAGTGCAATCGAGTCCACATGAGTGCAAGCGAGTCCACATGAGTGCAAACGAGTCCACATGAGTGCAAACGAGTCCACATGAGTGCAAACGAGTCCACATGAGTGCAAACGAGTCCACATGAGTGCAAGCGAGTCCACATGAGTGCAAGCGAGTCCACATGAGTGCAAGCGAGTCCACATGAGTGCAAACGAGTCCACATGAATGCAAGCGAGTCCACATGAGTGCAAACAAGTCCACATGAGTGCAAACGAGTCCACATGAGTGCAAACGAGTCCACATGAGTGCAAACGAGTCCACATGAGTGCAAACGAGTCCACATGAGTGCAATCGAGTCCACATGAGTGCAAACGAGTCCACGTGAGTGCAAACGAGTCCACATGAGTTCAAACGAGTCCACATGAGTTCAAACGAGTCCACATGAGTTCAAACGAGTCCACATGAGTGCAAACGAGTCCACATGAGTGCAAACGAGTCCACATGAGTTCAAACGAGTCCACATGAGTGCAAACGAGTCCACGTGAGTGCAAACGAGTCCACATGAGTTCAAACGAGTCCACATGAGTTCAAACGAGTCCACATGAGTGCAAACGAGTCCACATGAGTGCAAACGAGTCCACATGAGTGCAAACGAGTCCACATGAGTGCAAACGAGTCCACATGAGTGCAAACGAGTCCACATGAGTGCAAACGAGTCCACATGAGTGCAAACGAGTCCACATGAGTGCAAACGAGTCCACGTGAGTGCAAACGAGTCCACATGAGTGCAAACGAGTCCACATGAGTGCAAACGAGTCCACATGAGTGCAAACGAGTCCACATGAGTGCAAACGAGTCCACATGAGTTCAAACGAGTCCACATGAGTTCAAACGAGTCCACATGAGTTCAAACGAGTCCACATGAGTGCAAACGAGTCCACGTGAGTGCAAACGAGTCCACATGAGTGCAAACGAGTCCACGTGAGTGCAAACGAGTCCACATGAGTGCAAACGAGTCCACATGAGTGCAAACGAGTCCACGTGAGTGCAAACGAGTCCACATGAGTGCAAACGAGTCCACATGAGTGCAAACGAGTCCACATGAGTGCAAACGAGTCCACATGAGTGCAAACGAGTCCACATGAGTGCAAACGAGTCCACATGAGTGCAAACGAGTCCACATGAGTTCAAACGAGTCCACATGAGTGCAAACGAGTCCACATGAGTGCAAACGAGTCCACGTGAGTGCAAACGAGTCCACATGAGTGCAAACGAGTCCACATGAGTGCAAACGAGTCCACATGAGTGCAAACGAGTCCACATGAGTGCAAACGAGTCCACGTGAGTGCAAACGAGTCCACATGAGTGCAAACGAGTCCACATGAGTGCAAACGAGTCCACATGAGTGCAAACGAGTCCACATGAGTGCAAACGAGTCCACATGAGTGCAAACGAGTCCACATGAGTGCAAACGAGTCCACATGAGTGCAAACGAGTCCACATGAGTGCAAACGAGTCCACGTGAGTGCAAACGAGTCCACATGAGTTCAAAAGAGTCCACATGAGTGCAAACGAGTCCACATGAGTGCAAACGAGTCCACATGAGTGCAAACGAGTCCACATGAGTGCAAACGAGTCCACATGAGTGCAAACGAGTCCACATGAGTGCAAACGAGTCCACATGAGTGCAATCGAGTCCACATGAGTGCAAACGAGTCCACATGAGTGCAAACGAGTCCACATGAGTGCAAACGAGTCCACGTGAGTTCAAACGAGTCCACATGAGTTCAAACGAGTCCACATGAGTGCAAACGAGTCCACATGAGTGCAAACGAGTCCACATGAGTGCAAACGAGTCCACATGAGTGCAAACGAGTCCACATGAGTGCAAACGAGTCCACATGAGTGCAAACGAGTCCACATGAGTGCGAACGAGTCCACATGAGTGCAAACGAGTCCACATGAGTGCGAACGAGTCCACATGAGTTCAAACGAGTCCACATGAGTGCAAACGAGTCCACATGAGTGCAAACGAGTCCACATGAGTGCAAACGAGTCCACATGAGTGCAAACGAGTCCACATGAGTTCAGACGAGTCCACATGAGTGCAAACGAGTCCACATGAGTGCAAACGAGTCCACATGAGTGCAAACGAGTCCACATGAGTGCGAACGAGTCCACATGAGTGCAAACGAGTCCACATGAGTGCGAACGAGTCCACATGAGTGCAAACGAGTCCACATGAGTTCAAACGAGTCCACATGAGTGCAAACGAGTCCACATGAGTGCAAACGAGTCCACATGAGTGCAAACGAGTCCACATGAGTGCAAACGAGTCCACATGAGTGCAAACGAGTCCACATGAGTTCAAACGAGTCCACATGAGTGCAAACGAGTCCACATGAGTTCAAACGAGTCCACATGAGTTCAAACGAGTTCAAACGAGTCCACATGAGTGCAAACGAGTCCACATGAGTGCAAACGAGTCCACATGAGTGCAAACGAGTCCACATGAGTGCAAACGAGTCCACATGAGTGCAAACGAGTCCACATGAGTTCAAACGAGTCCACGTGAGTTCAAACGAGTCCACATGAGTTCAAACGAGTCCACGTGAGTGCAAACGAGTCCACATGAGTGCAAACGAGTCCACATGAGTGCAAACGAGTCCACGTGAGTGCAAACGAGTCCACATGAGTGCCAACGAGTCCACATGAGTGCAAACGAGTCCACATGAGTGCAAACGAGTCCACATGAGTGCAAACGAGTCCACATGAGTGCAAGCGAGTCCACATGAGTGCAAACGAGTCCACATGAGTGCAAACGAGTCCACATGAGTGCAAACGAGTCCACATGAGTGCAAACGAGTCCACATGAGTTCAAACGAGTCCACATGAGTGCAAACGAGTCCACATGAGTGCAAACGAGTCCACATGAGTGCAAACGAGTCCACATGAGTGCAAACGAGTCCACATGAGTGCAAACGAGTCCACATGAGTGCAAACGAGTCCACATGAGTGCAAACGAGTCCACATGAGTGCAAACGAGTCCACATGAGTGCAACGAGTCCACATGAGTGCCAACGAGTCCACATGAGTGCAAACGAGTCCACATGAGTGCAAACGAGTCCACATGAGTGCAAACGAGTCCACATGAGTGCAAACGAGTCCACATGAGTTCAAACGAGTCCACATGAGTGCAAACGAGTCCACGTGAGTGCAAACGAGTCCACATGAGTTCAAACGAGTCCACATGAGTGCAAGCGAGTCCACATGAGTGCAAACGAGTCCACATGAGTGCAAACGAGTCCACATGAGTGCAAACGAGTCCACATGAGTGCAACGAGTCCACATGAGTGCAAACGAGTCCACATGAGTGCAAACGAGTCCACATGAGTGCAAACGAGTCCACATGAGTGCAAACGAGTCCACATGAGTGCAATCGAGTCCACATGAGTGCAAACGAGTCCACATGAGTGCAAGCGAGTCCACATGAGTGCAAGCGAGTCCACATGAGTGCAAGCGAGTCCACATGAGTGCAAGCGAGTCCACATGAGTGCAAACGAGTCCACATGAGTGCAAGCGAGTCCACATGAGTGCAAACGAGTCCACATGAGTGCAAACGAGTCCACATGAGTGCAAACGAGTCCACATGAGTGCAACGAGTCCACATGAGTGCAAACGAGTCCACATGAGTGCAAACGAGTCCACATGAGTGCAAACGAGTCCACATGAGTGCAAACGAGTCCACATGAGTGCAAACGAGTCCACATGAGTGCAAACGAGTCCACATGAGTGCAAACGAGTCCACATGAGTTCAAACGAGTCCACATGAGTGCAAACGAGTCCACATGAGTGCAAACGAGTCCACATGAGTGCAAACGAGTCCACATGAGTGCAAACGAGTCCACGTGAGTGCAAACGAGTCCACATGAGTGCAAACGAGTCCACGTGAGTGCAAACGAGTCCACATGAGTGCAAACGAGTCCACATGAGTTCAAACGAGTCCACATGAGTGCAAACGAGTCCACATGAGTGCAAACGAGTCCACATGAGTGCAAACGAGTCCACATGAGTTCAAACGAGTCCACATGAGTGCAAACGAGTCCACATGAGTGCAAACGAGTCCACATGAGTTCAAACGAGTCCACATGAGTGCAAACGAGTCCACTTGAGTGCAAACGAGTCCACATGAGTGCAAACGAGTCCACATGAGTGCAACGAGTCCACATGAGTGCAAACGAGTCCACATGAGTGCAAACGAGTCCACATGAGTTCAAACGAGTCCACATGAGTTCAAACGAGTCCACATGAGTGCAAACGAGTCCACATGAGTGCAAACGAGTCCACATGAGTTCAAACGAGTCCACATGAGTGCAAACGAGTCCACATGAGTGCAAACGAGTCCACATGAGTGCAAACGAGTCCACATGAGTGCAAACGAGTCCACATGAGTGCAAGCGAGTCCACATGAGTGCAAGCGAGTCCACATGAGTGCAAACGAGTCCACGTGAGTGCAAACGAGTCCACATGAGTGCAAACGAGTCCACATGAGTGCAAACGAGTCCACATGAGTGCAAGCGAGTCCACATGAGTGCAAGCGAGTCCACATGAGTGCAAACGAGTCCACATGAGTGCAAACGAGTCCACATGAGTGCAAACGAGTCCACATGAGTGCAACGAGTCCACATGAGTGCAAACGAGTCCACATGAGTGCAAACGAGTCCACATGAGTGCAAACGAGTCCACATGAGTGCAAACGAGTCCACATGAGTGCAATCGAGTCCACATGAGTGCAAACGAGTCCACATGAGTGCAAGCGAGTCCACATGAGTGCAAACGAGTCCACATGAGTGCAAACGAGTCCACATGAGTGCAAGCGAGTCCACATGAGTGCAAACGAGTCCACATGAGTGCAAACGAGTCCACATGAGTGCAAACGAGTGCACATGAGTGCAAACGAGTCCACATGAGTGCAAACGAGTCCACATGAGTGCAAACGAGTCCACATGAGTGCAAACGAGTCCACATGAGTTCAAACGAGTCCACATGAGTGCAAACGAGTCCGCATGAGTTCAAACGAGTCCACATGAGTGCAAACGAGTCCACATGAGTGCAAACGAGTCCACATGAGTGCAAACGAGTCCACATGAGTGCAATCGAGTCCACATGAGTGCAAACGAGTCCACATGAGTGCAAACGAGTCCACATGAGTGCAAACGAGTCCACATGAGTGCAAGCGAGTCCACATGAGTGCAAACGAGTCCACATGAGTGCAAACGAGTCCACATGAGTGCAATCGAGTCCACATGAGTGCAAGCGAGTCCACATGAGTGCAAACGAGTCCACATGAGTGCAAACGAGTCCACATGAGTGCAAACGAGTCCACATGAGTGCAAACGAGTCCACATGAGTGCAAGCGAGTCCACATGAGTGCAAGCGAGTCCACATGAGTGCAAGCGAGTCCACATGAGTGCAAACGAGTCCACATGAATGCAAGCGAGTCCACATGAGTGCAAACAAGTCCACATGAGTGCAAACGAGTCCACATGAGTGCAAACGAGTCCACATGAGTGCAAACGAGTCCACATGAGTGCAAACGAGTCCACATGAGTGCAATCGAGTCCACATGAGTGCAAACGAGTCCACGTGAGTGCAAACGAGTCCACATGAGTTCAAACGAGTCCACATGAGTTCAAACGAGTCCACATGAGTTCAAACGAGTCCACATGAGTGCAAACGAGTCCACATGAGTGCAAACGAGTCCACATGAGTTCAAACGAGTCCACATGAGTGCAAACGAGTCCACGTGAGTGCAAACGAGTCCACATGAGTTCAAACGAGTCCACATGAGTTCAAACGAGTCCACATGAGTGCAAACGAGTCCACATGAGTGCAAACGAGTCCACATGAGTGCAAACGAGTCCACATGAGTGCAAACGAGTCCACATGAGTGCAAACGAGTCCACATGAGTGCAAACGAGTCCACATGAGTGCAAACGAGTCCACATGAGTGCAAACGAGTCCACGTGAGTGCAAACGAGTCCACATGAGTGCAAACGAGTCCACATGAGTGCAAACGAGTCCACATGAGTGCAAACGAGTCCACATGAGTGCAAACGAGTCCACATGAGTTCAAACGAGTCCACATGAGTTCAAACGAGTCCACATGAGTTCAAACGAGTCCACATGAGTGCAAACGAGTCCACGTGAGTGCAAACGAGTCCACATGAGTGCAAACGAGTCCACGTGAGTGCAAACGAGTCCACATGAGTGCAAACGAGTCCACATGAGTGCAAACGAGTCCACGTGAGTGCAAACGAGTCCACATGAGTGCAAACGAGTCCACATGAGTGCAAACGAGTCCACATGAGTGCAAACGAGTCCACATGAGTGCAAACGAGTCCACATGAGTGCAAACGAGTCCACATGAGTGCAAACGAGTCCACATGAGTTCAAACGAGTCCACATGAGTGCAAACGAGTCCACATGAGTGCAAACGAGTCCACGTGAGTGCAAACGAGTCCACATGAGTGCAAACGAGTCCACATGAGTGCAAACGAGTCCACATGAGTGCAAACGAGTCCACATGAGTGCAAACGAGTCCACGTGAGTGCAAACGAGTCCACATGAGTGCAAACGAGTCCACATGAGTGCAAACGAGTCCACATGAGTGCAAACGAGTCCACATGAGTGCAAACGAGTCCACATGAGTGCAAACGAGTCCACATGAGTGCAAACGAGTCCACATGAGTGCAAACGAGTCCACATGAGTGCAAACGAGTCCACGTGAGTGCAAACGAGTCCACATGAGTTCAAAAGAGTCCACATGAGTGCAAACGAGTCCACATGAGTGCAAACGAGTCCACATGAGTGCAAACGAGTCCACATGAGTGCAAACGAGTCCACATGAGTGCAAACGAGTCCACATGAGTGCAAACGAGTCCACATGAGTGCAATCGAGTCCACATGAGTGCAAACGAGTCCACGTGAGTGCAAACGAGTCCACATGAGTGCAAACGAGTCCACGTGAGTTCAAACGAGTCCACATGAGTTCAAACGAGTCCACATGAGTGCAAACGAGTCCACATGAGTGCAAACGAGTCCACATGAGTGCAAACGAGTCCACATGAGTGCAAACGAGTCCACATGAGTGCAAACGAGTCCACATGAGTGCAAACGAGTCCACATGAGTGCGAACGAGTCCACATGAGTGCAAACGAGTCCACATGAGTGCGAACGAGTCCACATGAGTTCAAACGAGTCCACATGAGTGCAAACGAGTCCACATGAGTGCAAACGAGTCCACATGAGTGCAAACGAGTCCACATGAGTGCAAACGAGTCCACATGAGTTCAGACGAGTCCACATGAGTGCAAACGAGTCCACATGAGTGCAAACGAGTCCACATGAGTGCAAACGAGTCCACATGAGTGCGAACGAGTCCACATGAGTGCAAACGAGTCCACATGAGTGCGAACGAGTCCACATGAGTGCAAACGAGTCCACATGAGTTCAAACGAGTCCACATGAGTGCAAACGAGTCCACATGAGTGCAAACGAGTCCACATGAGTGCAAACGAGTCCACATGAGTGCAAACGAGTCCACATGAGTGCAAACGAGTCCACATGAGTTCAAACGAGTCCACATGAGTGCAAACGAGTCCACATGAGTTCAAACGAGTCCACATGAGTTCAAACGAGTTCAAACGAGTCCACATGAGTGCAAACGAGTCCACATGAGTGCAAACGAGTCCACATGAGTGCAAACGAGTCCACATGAGTGCAAACGAGTCCACATGAGTGCAAACGAGTCCACATGAGTTCAAACGAGTCCACGTGAGTTCAAACGAGTCCACATGAGTTCAAACGAGTCCACGTGAGTGCAAACGAGTCCACATGAGTGCAAACGAGTCCACATGAGTGCAAACGAGTCCACATGAGTTCAAACGAGTCCACATGAGTGCAAACGAGTCCACATGAGTGCAAACGAGTCCACATGAGTGCAAACGAGTCCACGTGAGTGCAAACGAGTCCACATGAGTGCAAACGAGTCCACATGACTGCAAACGAGTCCACATGAGTTCAAACGAGTCCACATGAGTGCAAACGAGTCCACATGAGTGCAAACGAGTCCACATGAGTGCAAACGAGTCCACATGAGTTCAAACGAGTCCACATGAGTGCAAACGAGTCCACATGAGTGCAAACGAGTCCACATGAGTGCAAACGAGTCCACATGAGTTCAAACGAGTCCACATGAGTGCAAACGAGTCCACATGAGTGCAAACGAGTCCACATGAGTTCAAACGAGTCCACATGAGTGCAAACGAGTCCACGTGAGTGCAAACGAGTCCACATGAGTGCAAACGAGTCCACATGAGTGCAAACGAGTCCACATGAGTGCAAACGAGTCCACATGAGTTCAAACGAGTCCACATGAGTGCAAACGAGTCCACATGAGTTCAAACGAGTCCACATGAGTGCAAACGAGTCCACATGAGTGCAAACGAGTCCACATGAGTTCAAACGAGTCCACATGAGTGCAAACGAGTCCACTTGAGTGCAAACGAGTCCACATGAGTGCAAACGAGTCCACATGAGTGCAAACGAGTCCACATGAGTGCAAACGAGTCCACATGAGTGCAAACGAGTCCACATGAGTGCAAACGAGTCCACATGAGTGCAAACGAGTCCACATGAGTGCAAACGAGTCCACATGAGTGCAAACGAGTCCACATGAGTGCAAACGAGTCCACATGAGTGCAAACGAGTCCACATGAGTGCAAGCGAGTCCACATGAGTGCAAGCGAGTCCACATGAGTGCAAGCGAGTCCACATGAGTGCAAACGAGTCCACATGAGTGCAAGCGAGTCCACATGAGTGCAAACGAGTCCACATGAGTTCAAACGAGTCCACATGAGTGCAAACGAGTCCACATGAGTGCAAACGAGTCCACATGAGTGCAAACGAGTCCACATGAGTGCAAACGAGTCCACGTGAGTGCAAACGAGTCCACGTGAGTGCAAACGAGTCCACATGAGTGCAAACGAGTCCACATGAGTGCAAACGAGTCCACATGAGTGCAAACGAGTCCACATGAGTGCAAACGAGTCCACATGAGTGCAAACGAGTCCACATGAGTGCAAACGAGTCCACATGAGTTCAAACGAGTCCACATGAGTTCAAACGAGTTCAAACGAGTCCACATGAGTGCAAACGAGTCCACATGAGTGCAAACGAGTCCACATGAGTGCAAACGAGTCCACATGAGTGCAAACGAGTCCACATGAGTGCAAACGAGTCCACATGAGTGCAAACGAGTCCACATGAGTGCAAACGAGTCCACATGAGTTCAAACGAGTCCACGTGAGTGCAAACGAGTCCACATGAGTGCAAACGAGTCCACATGAGTGCAAACGAGTCCACATGAGTGCAAACGAGTCCACGTGAGTGCAAACGAGTCCACGTGAGTGCAAACGAGTCCACATGAGTGCAAACGAGTCCCCATGACTGCAAACGAGTCCACATGAGTTCAAACGAGTCCACATGAGTGCAAACGAGTCCACATGAGTGCAAACGAGTCCACATGAGTGCAAACGAGTCCACATGAGTTCAAACGAGTCCACATGAGTGCAAACGAGTCCACATGAGTGCAAACGAGTCCACATGAGTGCAAACGAGTCCACATGAGTTCAAACGAGTCCACATGAGTGCAAACGAGTCCACATGAGTGCAAACGAGTCCACATGAGTGCAAACGAGTCCACATGAGTGCAAACGAGTCCACGTGAGTGCAAACGAGTCCACATGAGTGCAAACGAGTCCACGTGAGTGCAAACGAGTCCACATGAGTGCAAACGAGTCCACATGAGTTCAAACGAGTCCACATGAGTGCAAACGAGTCCACATGAGTGCAAACGAGTCCACATGAGTGCAAACGAGTCCACATGAGTTCAAACGAGTCCACATGAGTGCAAACGAGTCCACATGAGTGCAAACGAGTCCACATGAGTTCAAACGAGTCCACATGAGTGCAAACGAGTCCACTTGAGTGCAAACGAGTCCACATGAGTGCAAACGAGTCCACATGAGTGCAAACGAGTCCACATGAGTGCAAACGAGTCCACATGAGTGCAAACGAGTCCACATGAGTGCAAACGAGTCCACATGAGTGCAAACGAGTCCACATGAGTGCAAACGAGTCCACATGAGTGCAAACGAGTCCACATGAGTGCCAACGAGTCCACGTGAGTGCAAACGAGTCCACATGAGTGCCAACGAGTCCACATGAGTGCCAACGAGTCCACATGAGTGCAAACGAGTCCACATGAGTGCCAACGAGTCCACATGAGTGCAAACGAGTCCACGTGAGTGCAAACGAGTCCACGTGAGTGCCAACGAGTCCACATGAGTGCAAACGAGTCCACATGAGTTCAAACGAGTCCACATGAGTGCCAACGAGTCCACATGAGTGCCAACGAGTCCACGTGAGTGCCAACGAGTCCACATGAGTGCCAACGAGTCCACGTGAGTGCCAACGAGTCCACATGAGTGCAAATGAGTCCACATGAGTGCAAACGAGTCCACATGAGTGCAAACGAGTCCACATGAGTGCAAACGAGTCCACATGAGTGCAAACGAGTCCACATGAGTGCAAACGAGTCCACATGAGTGCAAACGAGTCCACATGAGTGCAAACGAGTCCGCATGAGTTCAAACGAGTCCACATGAGTGCAAACGAGTCCACATGAGTGCAAACGAGTCCACGTGAGTGCAAACGAGTCCACATGAGTTCAAACGAGTCCACATGAGTGCAAACGAGTCCACATGAGTGCAAACGAGTCCACATGAGTGCAAACGAGTCCACGTGAGTGCAAACGAGTCCACGTGAGTGCAAACGAGTCCACATGAGTGCAAACGAGTCCACATGAGTGCAAACGAGTCCACATGTGTGCAAACGAGTCCACATGAGTGCCAACGAGTCCACGTGAGTGCCAACGAGTCCACGTGAGTGCAAACGAGTCCACATGAGTGCCAACGAGTCCACATGAGTGCAAACGAGTCCACATGAGTGCAAACGAGTCCACATGAGTGCAAACAAGTCCACATGAGTGCAAACGAGTCCACATGAGTGCAAACGAGTCCACATGAGTTCAAACGAGTCCACATGAGTGCAAACGAGTCCACATGAGTGCAAACGAGTCCACATGAGTGCAAACGAGTCCACATGAGTTCAAACGAGTCCACATGAGTGCAAACGAGTCCACATGAGTGCAAACGAGTCCACATGAGTTCAAACGAGTCCACATGAGTGCCAACGAGTCCACGTGAGTGCCAACGAGTCCACATGAGTGCAAACGAGTCCACATGAGTGCAAACGAGTCCACATGAGTGCAAACGAGTCCACATGAGTGCAAACGAGTCCACATGAGTGCAAACGAGTCCACATGAGTGCAAACGAGTCCACATGAGTGCAAACGAGTCCACATGAGTGCAAACGAGTCCACGTGAGTGCAAACGAGTCCACATGAGTTCAAACGAGTCCACATGAGTGCAAACGAGTCCACATGAGTGCAAACGAGTCCACATGAGTGCAAACGAGTCCACGTGAGTGCAAACGAGTCCACGTGAGTGCAAACGAGTCCACATGAGTGCAAACGAGTCCACATGAGTGCAAACGAGTCCACATGAGTGCAAACGAGTCCACATGAGTGCCAACGAGTCCACGTGAGTGCCAACGAGTCCACGTGAGTGCAAACGAGTCCACATGAGTGCCAACGAGTCCACATGAGTGCCAACGAGTCCACATGAGTGCCAACGAGTCCACATGAGTGCCAACGAGTCCACGTGAGTGCCAACGAGTCCACGTGAGTGCAAACGAGTCCACATGAGTGCCAACGAGTCCACATGAGTGCCAACGAGTCCACATGAGTGCAAACGAGTCCACATGAGTGCCAACGAGTCCACATGAGTGCAAACGAGTCCACATGAGTGCCAACGAGTCCACGTGAGTGCCAACGAGTCCACATGAGTGCAAACGAGTCCACATGAGTTCAAACGAGTCCACATGAGTGCCAACGAGTCCACATGAGTGCCAACGAGTCCACGTGAGTTCAAACGAGTCCACGTGAGTTCACTCACAACAACTTGACGGCATCATTCTCACCGCAGCTATGTTGGCGGCACAGGAGCAGTTGACTAGGATGAGGACGCTGGAGAAGGAGGGTTGGGCTCTTTTCCAAAGCCGCCCCAAGAATCAAAACGAATGAGTGAGCGCAAACGAGTGGATGTGAATGCACATGAGTGCAGTCACAACAGCTGGCCCGCATTCTTCCTCCTCACCAGCAGCGATGTTGGCTGCGGACATAAGAGCAGAGAAGTTAACGAGGATGAGGACGCTGGGGAGGAGGAGTTTGTTCTCTTCCATAGGAGGCTCAAGAGGCAAAACACATGCAGATGCATGCGCACTGCACTGCACTGCACCGCACCGCACCGCACTCCACCGTACGGCATTCTCACCGCAGCAATGTTGGCGACATAGGAGCAGTTGACCAGGATGAGGACGTTGGGGATGGTGGATTCGAGCAGCGCGAGCGTTGTGGCAGCAGCCATGAGGTCGTTCTGATCTGCCATTGGTACTACCGCGCTGCTGTTGGCTGCTGCTGCTAGCCCCTGGGGGAGGGGGAAGGGGAGAAGGGAGGGGAGGGCATGCATGAGGGGCACAGGGACGGGGGGAGCAACGAAGGGGGGGATTGCGCAAAGGGGGGCGAGCAGCAGCCGTGAGATTGTTCTGAACCACCTCTGGCACGACTGCGCTGCTGTTGGCCGCCGCTGTTAGGGCCTCAGGGGGAGGGGCAGGGGGGGGGAGGGGGAGAGAGCAAAATGGGGGACGGGAGTGGGGAGGCAAGCAAGGAAACAGGCGGGGCGTGATTTTGACCAAGAAAACGGCGCTGGGGATGGTGGATTGGAGCTTCGACAGCGCTGCGACAGAGCTGTGATAGTGCAGTGATAGTGGTGTGACAAAGACGCACAAAGGGGTTCAATTTTCAATCAAACCACCGCACAGATGCCTCTTTGAGGCGCCTCAAAAGACTTCAATCAAACCACCGCACAGATGCCTCTTTTTCCATAAATTTCAAATATGTCTTTTGAGACGCATCAAGAGCTACCGCACCGCACGCTACTGCCTGCACACCATGCTGCATTTGAGACGTCTCAAGAGTTACCACACTCTACCACACGCTACTGCCTCTGCACAATGCTGCTCTAACCCAACCATCCACATCGGCAGTCAAGACACATCGGCAGCGGTAAAGCGCTCGGCACACATGCCACATCAGCACAGCACACATGCCACGTCAGCACACATGCCACGTCAGCACAGCCATCCCACTCACGTCCACCAGCTGCTGGAAGGTGACGGTGCCGTCACCGCAGTAGCTCATGTTGCGCATGTAATCGGGCGGCGGGCCGTACGGCACACAGATGCCACCCGTGGCATTGACCAGGTCAAAGGCCTATGATGGGCGGCAGGGAGGCAAAGATGAGGGGGAGGAAATTCTGAGATTTAAATATATCTACATATATATATTCATTTATTATTAAGAAGAAGAAGAAGACAAAAAGACAACAAACAAGATTGATTCCGCCTCGAGCATTGACCAGCTCAAAGGCCTGTGATGGGCAGGGGGGAGGCAGGGAGGGGGAGGGAGGTCGGAGGGGTTGGAGGGGAATATAGAGATGCCTAGAGATTCCTGGAGGGGCAGCAATCAGTGCACTCACTCTAGGCGCTGCAAGCACTGCAGTGACTTTAGGCGCGTTGGTGGCGACAGCCGTGTTGGCCGTGGTGAGCAGCTCGATGGCAGCGGTGTGGCGAGCAGAGTCAACTCAGAATCATCTCGCATGCCGGCAGTGGCAGCAGCAATCACTGCACTCACTCTAGGCGCCGCAAGCACTGCACTCACTTAGGGCACGTTGGTGGCGACAGCCATGTTGGTCGTGGTGAGCGCGGTGGAAGCGAGCGGTGTAGCGCGCAGCCTCGGAGGGGGCAATGTGAATACAACAACCACCACCACCACCACCACCACCACCACCACCACCACCACCACCACCACCACCACCACCACCACCACCACCACCACCACCACCACCACCACCACCACCACCACCACCACCACCACCACCACCACCACCACCACCACCACCACCACCACCACCACCACCACCACCACCACCACTGCCCTCTACGTACCGCAGGTGCGTTGGTGGCGACAGACGTGTTGGCAGTGGTGAGCGCGGTGGAGGCGGTGTAGCGAGGGGCGTTAGTGGACTCAAATGGCAAAGTGTGCAGCCGGCACCACGTACCGCAGGTGCGTTGGCTGTGACAGAAGTGTTGGCAGTGGTGAGCGCGGTGGAAGCTGTGAAAGAAGTAGTGTTTTGAGACGTCTCACTTGAAACTCACTTCGGGTGTGTTGGTGGCGACAGAAGTGTTGGCAGTGGTGAGCGCGGTGGAGGCAGTGTAGCGCGCGTAGCGAGTGGCATTCAGCAGCTGGTCGCTGGGGATGCAGTGGAGGTAGGTGTCCATGGCGCTGTTCATGGTGGGCGACTGCTCCACCTCCTCCAGTGCAACGCTGGTATCTCCGTTCACTCTGGTGGTGGAAGGGAAGGGAGGGAGCATAGGTGAGGGGAAGAGCAGCCAAGACCCTGCCGGGAATGCAGTGAAGGTAAGTGTCCATGGCGCTGTTGACGGTATGGTATGCATGATGAATGCGTTTTTAGGCAAAAAAAGAAAAAAGAACGAAGAAAAAAAAACAACAACAACAACTGAATTGAGGAAGTCATATGGCTGTTGAACTGTAGTCAGCACTTTTGAGTCGACCCAAAAGTCACCTCCTAACTAGCACTTACAAATATGCGATAATAAAACCGGCTGTAGTGCACCAAGTAAAGAAGACCACCACCCATATTAGAGTAACGATGCTGTTAAAGAGGAAAGACGAACAACAAATAAAATGGGGCATAATGAGTGTGGAAATAAATGCAAAAGCATGAAGTTGTTTAGGAAGTACATTATCGATGCTGAATAGGAAAGCGGTTGACATAAAGCAACAATGTTGTCACATAAGATACGAAGTACTTTAAAAGCAATTACCATCAATCGCTGAAACACTAGCCTTTGTATTGTTTTATACGATCAAAGCTTTCTGGCGCGTACGCATGCAATAAGAACAAAAACACTCACACATTTGATGCGACGACCCATTTGAGAAGCGAAAAGACTGGCGGGCAGGAAACAGTTTTGAACAATAAGAAAGCAGGAGGTTATGGGGGAGGGAGGGGGGAGCGGGGGGTGACGAGTTGGACAAGATTGGTGAGGGCGAGGGATAGAGGGGGTAAAAGAGCAGAAATGGCAAAACTCAGAAGCGAAACAGGTGAATATGCAGAAAGTTGACTGTTTGAGTCAACTCAAAAGTCAACTACGATGGGAAGAACGAACTGAGGTTGAAGATGTAAAGAGTTGAATTCTAGATGCACAGAGGGAAGGGAACTCAGAAGCTAACTAGGAGGGGAAGATAGGAGGAAGGGAAGAGAGGAGAGATGGAAGAACGAACTGAGGGCGAAAATGTAATGTAAAGAGGTGAATTCTAGATGCACGGAGGGAAGGGAACTCAGAAGCTAACCAGGAGGGGAAGATTGGAGGAAGGGAAGAGAGGGGGAGGGAAGAGAGGAGAGAGGGAGGAGAGGAGGGAGGGAAGAACGAACTGAGGGGCGAAGATGTAAAGAGTTGAGTTCTAGACGCACGGAGGGAAGGGAACTCAAAAGCTAACTTAGAGGGGAAGATTGGAGGAAGGGAAGAGATGGGGTGGGAAGAGAGGAGAGAGGGAAGAGAGGAGAGAGGGAAGAACGAACTGAGGGGCGAAAATGTAAAGAGTTGAATTCTAGATGCACAGAGAGGAGGGAACTCAGACTAGCTAGGAGGGGAAAATTCGAGGAAGGGAAGAGAGGATAAAGGGAAGAACGAACTGAGGGCGAAAATGTTAAGAGTTGAATTCTAGACGCACAGAGAGGAGGGAGGGAAGAGAGGAGGGAGGGAAGAGAGGAGGAAGGGAAGAGAGGAGGAAGGGAAGAGAGGGAGGGAAGAGAGGAGAGGAGGGAAGAGAGGAGGGAGAGAAGAACGCACTGAGGGCGAGGATGCAAAGAGCAGTGATGATACATCCGATTATTGAGAAGGTGAGCGTGCTGCCACGGGGGTGGGAGGAGGGGGGTGTGGGGGGGAACAAGGAGAGGGAAGAACACAGAAAGGGCGAAGATGCAGAGAGCAGTGATGATGCATCCGATAATGGCAGTGATGATGCATCCGATAATGGCAGTGATGATGCATCCGATAATGGCAGTGATGATGCATCCGATAATGGCAGTGATGATGCATCCGATAATGGCGAAAGTGAGAGTGTGCTGACAGGGGGTGGGGAGAGACAGGAAGGGGAGGGCAGGGAAAGAGGGCAGAGGGGGGGGAAGGGGAGGCAGGGAGGGTTAATGAGTGAGGCATCTTAAACGATGCATGCAGAGAGCAGTGATGATGCAGGTGTGATTGAGAAGGTGAGCGAGCTGAGAGCGGGGGGGAAGGGGAAGGGAGGGCACGGCAGGGAAAGAAGGCAGGGAGGGAAGGCAGGGAGGGTTTATGAGTGAGACATGTTAAACAATGCATGCAGAGAGCAGTGATGATGCAGGTGTGATTGAGAAGGCGAGCGAGCTGCCGCCGCCTTGGCGTGCAAGTCCCTCTCACAGTACAATACAGCAGCTACATCCTGCACCGCACCGCACCGCACTGTCTCTGGCTGGACCGTGCTGAACCAAGCCATAGAGCACGGCAGCCACACCGCACTGCACTCACACTATGCGTTGTTGATGATGGTGATGCCATTTGCTGTCTTGGCCTGCAACTCTGTGGCTGTCTTGTTTGCCACTCATGTACCACATTGCACATCGCACATCACCGCATTGCACCCCACCCCACCGCACTCCACCACACTGCACCGCACAGCACTCACACTACGCGCAATGTGTTGTTGATGATGGTGATGCCATCCTCTGTCTTGGCCTGCAGCTCCGTGGCTGTCTGGTTTGCCACTACCGCCTTGCTCTGAATGTCCGCCTTCTTAGCAGCTGCAGGTGGGCTCAAGGGATGATGCACGGGATGATGCACGGGATGATGCACGGGGAGGGAGGGAGAGGGAGGGATGGTGAGCGCGTGGCTGTCTGATTTGCCACTACCGCCTTGCTCTAAATGTCCGCCTTCTTAGCCGCTGCAGGTGGATGCGGGGGAAAGGTATTTAAAATACCGCTGGCTGAGAAAATAATGGCCTTAGTTATAAGGGCGGTTACCTTGTGCACATGTTCCTAAGATCTCTTCAATAAAACAGCACACGCTGTCTATATATATATAAATATAGCACTGGTGCTGAACAACAAAAACAGCACACATTGCTTCGCCTAATTATTTATATTCAATGTATGCATGTATACATACATATATACATGTATACATGTATACATACATATCTATCTTTTCATTATATATGCATGGATGTATGTATATATATATGTATGTATGTGTGTATGTATGTATGTATGTATGTATGTATGTATGTATGTATGTATGTATGTATGTATGTATGTATGTATGTATGTATGTATGTATGTATGTATGTATGTATGTATGTATGTATGTATGTATGTATGTATGTATGTATGTATATATGTATGTATGTATGTATGTATGTATGTATCTATGTATGTATGTATGTATGTATGTATGTATGTATGTATGTATGTATGTATGTATGTATATATGTATGTATGTATGTATGTATGTATGTATGTATGTATGTATGTATGTATGTATGTATGTATGTATGTATGTATGTATGTATGTATGTATGTATGTATGTATGTATGTATGTATGCATGTGTGTATAAAAAGGTGAAACGCACGCACGTGGGACGACGGTGTTGGTGATGTTGATGGTGGCGGTGAGCTGCAGGATGCTCGTCATGTTGAAGATCACACTGGTCGTGAAATGGACTGACTCTGTGATATAGTCCGTCACCTTGTGAACTCGGTTACTCATCTGCACACCCCCCGCAAGCATCACAGAGAAACCGACGCTGGGGAAGCAGGGACGAGAGGGGGTCAGGAGGGGGAAGGGAGGGGGAAGGGAGGGGGAAGGGAGGGAGAAGGGAGGGGGAAGGGAGGGGGACGGGAGTGGGAAGGGAGGGGGAAGGGGAAGGGTTAAATCAACTGTATATGTAATAAATTCCGTCACCTTGTGCACTCGGATACTCAGCTGCACACCCCCCGCAAGCATCACAGTGAAACCGATGCTGGGGGAGGGGGAGAGGGGGCCAAAGGATGGGAAAGTAATCGGGAAGGGTGAAATCACCAGTCTCAGTGAAAACGTCCGTCAACTTGTGCACTCTGTTCTGTAGCTCCACACCTCCACCGAGCAGGAGGGACGAGAGAAGGTCAGGAGGAGGGGGGAGGGAGGGGGAAGGGAGAAAGGGTGAAGACAACACACTCTGTGATAAAGTCCGTCACCTTGTGCACTCTGTTCTGTAGCTCCACACCCCCCGCGAGCATCACAAAGAAACCGACGCTGGGGGTTTAAAGAGTGGGGAGGGAATGGAGAGCAAGGGGGGAGAAGAGAGGGAGGGGGGAAAGGAGAGGGAGGGGGAAGGGAGGGGGGAGAGGAGACGAGGGGTGAGGGAGGGGGGAGAAAGGAGGGTTGCAAAATCACACTACCTCATCAGATCAATGCGTCATAGAACCGAGTGCACAGGGTGACGGACTATACCACAGGGAAGGAACCGAGTGCACAGGGTGACGGAACGGCGTTACTAAGACCTAGGTAGACCACAACACCTCTGTGATTGAAACGCGTTATTTAGTCCTAGGTAGGTAAGAGCGAGCGACCTCGGCTTGTTTGTTGCGCTCGAATCCGCCCCTAACACCAAGGCAAGGCGTCCGAATCCATCTCCGTTACAAGCATTTCCAAAATCAGTTACTCGCAAAAGTCACCCTCATGGAACTCACACCATGGCGACGGTTGCAAGGCGAAACACAGAGATTTGAAATGAAAATAAAGAGAGAAGATAACTATCCTCGTTACAAGCAACCCCGACTCCAGCACTTACAGCACAGTGACAATCCCGAGGAGCATGAAGCCCAACGGCACCCAGAGGTCCTTCTTGGTGTACTTGGCGTATGCGGGGTCCCTCATCTCGCTCCACTTGTCGCGACAGCACAGGCAGGTGAGCAGCGAGAATCCGAGGATCCCGAGACCCAGAATCAGCCAGAGGAGGCCGAGCAGCGGCGCATACACCACTGACCACATGACGGACTGGGGAGGGGAGGGAGGGGGGGGGGGGGAGGAGTGGGGGGAAGGAAAGCCGGAGAGCGGGGTGAGCAGCGAGAATCCAAGAATCCCGAGGCCTAGAATTAGCCAGAGGAGGCCTAGCAGCGGCGCGTAGACCACCGACCACATGACGGACTGGAGGGGAGGGGAGGGTGGCGAGGGGTGGCGAGGGGTGGCGAGGGGTGGGGATGGGTGGGGAGGGATGGGGAGGGGTGTAAGGTCAAGGACAGGAGCAGCGGCGAGCAGTGCAGCCAGAGGAGGCCTAGCAGCGGCGCGTAGACCACGGACCACATGACGGACTGGGAGAAGGGGAAGGGTGACGAGGGGTGGGGATGGGTGGGGATGGGTGGGGATGGGTGGGGAGGGGTGCAAGGTCAAGGACAGGAGCAGCGGCGCGTAGACCACCAACCACATGACCGACTGGAGGGAGAGAGCAGGGGGGAGAGAGGGGAGAGGGAGGGTGGGTGTTGGTGGGAGGAATTACATCGCATGAGTGGGTTACGTGAGTTATATGGGGAGGACTCCGTGGAAATCATATGATACGAGCTGGTTTTTAGAATTCTCAGAAAACCAGCTCCGAGTTACATCACATGAGTGGGTTACGTGAGTTACATGGGGAGGACTCCGTGGATAACGCGGATAACGCGGGTCACGTGAGTTACATGCGTTACGTGATTCAAGTGGGTTACGTGGGTTTAGTGAGTGAGTGATGTCGGCTAGGTGAGCTACGCGGGTCATGTGAGTTACGTTACGTGTATTATATGCGTCACGGGATTTACGTGGGTTACCTGGGTTTAGTGAGTGAGTGATGTCGGCTAGGTGAGTTACGTGTTTTACGTGAATGACGTGACGTGGGTTACTCATTCTTTCGTGAAACACGTACCGCCCAGTAGTCCTTGCTGCTGGGGTTCCGGCCGCCGCGCGTGTAGTAATTAAGCCCGTCGAGAGGGTTCTTGCGTCGCTTGGGTTTATCATGTGAGTTATCTGGGTTACACAAGTTACAGAAGTTTCGTGAATTACTCATTCTTTCGCGAAACACGTACCGCCCAGTAGTCCTTGCTGCTGGGGTTCCAGCCGCCCGTGTAATAGTTAAGCCCGTCGAGGGGGTTCCTTCGGTACGTGCGGTTCGGAGCGAGAGTCACGTTCTGCAGAGGAGGAGCTTGCAGCGCGCGGCGACTCACGTGACTCGAACGGTCGGAACGGTCCGCGTGACTCAAACGGCCGGCGCGCTTCAAAAGGTCGGCGTGACTGTAACGGGAGTGCTCGAAAAGCGCTACGCGAGGCGCTTCTGCCAAAACGTTCTGAATAAGCGTGTGATAATAAAGAGCAGTCTCTGGTAGGTCATAACGATAGTCCATGGGATTGTTCTGTGATGCTGCCACGTCAGCGACCGCGAACGACCTACTAATACTGTTCAATCCCACCGCGACTCGCGCCGTCGAATCCGGGTCGGCCGCGCTCAAACGCGGCGCGGTAGCTACACCGCATATAGCAAGGAGGAGGAGGGGATAGATATTGCTAAAGCTCGCCATCTGTGATGGGCTACAAGAGGCCGAAGCGCGGTCTGTGCGATGCCGGGTACCCTCTTTCTTTGGCGAAACTACACCACCGGCGCCTCCTCTCCCGCGCGGGTCGTCCATCTTCTTGCGTGGACGCTTAATTCCCCACAACAACCAGAGCGTTCTTGCAATTGGAGTAACTAGACGTCTCGTTCAAAAGAGCGTACGTGTAATTAGTGTAGTTTCTTGACGTCTAATGAAGCAGCTATTTATGGCTATCAATCCTGTCTTAGTAACAATTGTGCTGCAAAAAACAGTACGCGTACAGCGCAACCAGCGGCAAGGTAAAGCGCGAGGCTACGAGGCAGAAGTTGAGTGAGAATGAGCAAGAGCTACAGATGTTCAAAAGTAGAAACACCAGACAGAACGGGTCAGCAGCAGTATGATGCCAGTTTTTGTTTGTCTGCTGTTGGCTCAAATGAGGGGGGGTTGGGTCAAAAAGCGGAAGGGAAGCATAGGGGAGGGGAGGGGAGGGGAGCCTGGGAGGGATGGTTATGGGGGGTAGAGGGTGGGTGAAAGCTTGGTGGAGTGGAGTTGGGCTGCACTCCACAATGCGGCGCTCCGTCAATCAATCTGTTCGTCTCGTTCTGCCCGTTATTGCTGGGCATAAGTTCGCAAAACTGACCGGTGTAGACACTGCGAAGAGATACACTGTCGAAATCTGACGTTTCCGGATGTTACAAGATAGGCCACGAGCTCTGCGAATAGCCGACAGAAAGGACCTTACATTCTCATACTGCCCGAAAATGCTTGCGTGCACTTTTTCAAGCACTCGGGCGGGCGGGTTGATGTTCGTGCTCCGTTCATCCACTGTGGGTTCCCGACCTAGATTTCTGTTTGGCATTTATACTAAGGTGATAATAACGTCATGTCTATAGCTTTTCCGGTGTAAAAAAACCAAAACCGTGAAGAGAGTTCCGGAATCGGGACACTTATATTAAGTGCTCCTACAGCTGTGCTTAGAGTTGTTTCTCTAATCTCGACCGATTTAATGGGTCTCCAACTATTAATGGTTTTGCAAGGGCGACCCATTTCGGGCTGTGTCGTGTGTAGTCTCTGGTTGGGATGCTGTCGTTTCCAGCCGTTCGGTTCGGTTCGGTTTGGTGCCCCTTTTGTCAACCAAGAAAGCCAGCGGTGGTGATGCGCGGTGCCCCTTCTGTTCCTTTATGCGATCCACCGCAACTGGTGGATTTGGACATCTGACACTCTGACACACTCGACACGGCAATCTGGCTGATTCGACAAGAGGAACTATTTATTGTCTATGAGTGGTAAAACTTGCCGGAGCATGTACAAACGATCACACAAAGGCACACAAGCTCCGCAATTTCTGCATGTTTCTTTAGAGAGCGGAGCCGTACGCGTTACTGTTGAAGTCACGAAATATTTGAAGAAAATTACAAGGTCAACAGTTATCAGCTCGTGTGTCCTAATGTCACCTTAGAATCCTTGTTCCCACCACACGCTTCGACGAAATGTCCGTTGCTCCGCATCCCCTTCCGGTTCCGCCAGTGGCGCTCCCGCATCACAGTCCTTTCCGGACAAACGTCGACGCGCCATCCCTACGAGTTCACCGCCAATCGGCTTCGACCATCCCGAACGTTCTCCTCGTCGCACCGCCAATCACGGACGTTGTCCCGATATTCTCCTCGTTCTCCGTCTCTCCTCTCACATCTCCTGCCTTCGCGTCGCCTCCCGAAGCGCCTGGTATCGAGCCGATCGATTTAGTCAATTCCGTCAGTTACGATTCGGCCTCTGACGACCGGTCGACGTGGATCGCGCCGGCCGTCACTGCTGTCGGCGCGACGCTGCCGGTGTGGTGGCGACGCGGCGTGCGGGTTGTGCGGACCGTGCTGGTGAGACTGAGTTATAGTTATGGTTGGTGCTGGATCGGTGGTGGGAAGAATCGGTGGTGGGAAGAATCGGCGGTGGGAAGAATCGGTGGTGGGTAGAAGCGGTGGTGAGGAGGATCGGTGGTGAGGAGGATCGGTGGTGAGGAGGATCGGTGGTGAGGAGGATCGGTGGTGAGGAGGATCGGTGGTGAGGAGGATCGGTGGTGAGGAGGATCGGTGGTGAGGAGGACCGGTGGTGAGGAGGATCGGTGGTGAGGAGGACCGGTGGTGAGGAGGATCGGTGGTGGGAAGGTTGGTGGTGAGACGGGAGAAGGGGTGATGAGTGCTGGTTGGTGGGAATGGCGCGTTTTTGGTTGTTATATATCATTTATGACCCCAGGTGACTGTATAGTCTAGTCACTCACTCGCCATCACAGTAAATGCATTGCACCCCCCTCCTTCTCTCCCCCATTCGCCCCCCTTCTCCCCTTTCTTCCTTTTCTTCTCCCTCCATTCCCTCCCGTCTCCCCTCCCCTCTCTCCCCCCCCTCCTTCCTTCCCTCGTCTCCCCCCTTTTCCCCTCTCCTGTGACACTCGTTCTCTCTGCTTGCAGCGACCGAGAAAGTGCCGCACATGCCTTGGCACGGGATACGATGTAAGTCCTTGTTGTGTGGGATTGTGAGTGCGTGCGTGAGTGCATGTGTGCGTGTGTGCGTGTGTGCGTGGGTGCGTGTGTGCGTGGGTGCGCGGGCGCCTGGGTGCGTGCGTGGGTGCGTGCGTGGGTGCGTGCGTGGGTGCGCGGGCGCGTGGGTGCGTGGGGGCATGGGGGCATGGGGGCATAAGTGTGCGTGCCCGGGTCGGGCCTTGCTTGGCCCGGGTCGGGCCACCCTGGCCCGAGTACAAAATGGGCGGGCTCGGGCCAGGGTCTTGGTCATTCGGCCCGGGTCGGACCGGGCAGGCCCGGCCCGGATTTTTGCCTGGCCCGGCCTGGCCCGACCTGGGCCGGGCATGCTCAACCCTACGTGCGCGCGTGCACACGCACACCCACCCACACCCACACATCCCTTCTTCCCCGCCTTCACGCTTATGTATTCTTGCCTTGGTCGCTCACCATCGAACCTTTCCACAGCCACACCCACCCCCCTCCCCACAAACACACTCCCACCCACACACGCACACACACACACACACCCTCGCACACACACACACACACCCGCACACGCACACACACCCACCCACACATCCTTTCTCCCCCACCTCCCCCACCCACACATGCTCGGTAGTCATGTTGAAGTTGCTACTAGAATTTCTCGAAAGCCACCCATACACACCCGTATACACACACACACACACACACACACACACACACACACACACACACACACACACACACACACACCCGTACACCCACCCACACCCACACACACATCTAAACAACCACCCACACCCACCCACACATCCCTTCTCCCTCGCCTTCACACTTACGTATTTTCGCCTTGCTCATGAGCCATCCAGCCTTCTCTCTTCCAACTCTCCCCACTCCCGTTTTGCACATGCAGCTCTGTTGCAGGTGTCACGGCCGGGGAAAGCAAGGTAACTGACTGCTCACTCTGTTCCAACATTTCCACTTGCACTGATGAAGGTGTGATTGGGGCCTGTCCCGTCACCCGAAACTAGTTTGCCTCGTTTTAATATTTTAGTGGAATTTTGAGTCGGATTTCTTGAAACTCCTTGTTTTTAGCAGGAATTACAACAGATCGTACTGTTAATCCTCTGCTAAAGAATTCTTTTAGACTGCTGCTCGCCTAAACATATGGCTGAAGGTACTTGGGGAAAGCAAGGTAACTGACTGCTCACTCCCACACCCTCCTCCTTCCCTCCCTCTCTCCCACCGCGCTTCTCCTTGCACTTTTGAGACATCTCAAACAAATATTATTGCACATGAAAGCAACGTAACTGGCTGCGCACTACCACACTCGCCCTCCTTCCCTCCCTCTCTCCCACTGTGCTTCTCCTCGCAATTTTGAGACGTCTTAAAAAGAATCATATTGCACATGAAAGCAAGGTAACTGGCTGTGCACTTCCACATCACCCCCCCCCT